TTTAGTAAATTTAGGGTTTAGGGGTTTAATTAGGGGGTTTAGGGTTTAAGATTTAATAAATTTAGGGTTTAGGGTTTCGGCTTTAGGGGTTTCGGGGATGATTACCCAGAGAGCCCAATACCCCCTAATTAAGGAAGATGGCTTACATCATAATATGAAGTCCCTTAAGGTGTATTGCTTCATTCAGGGGTATTGGGCTCTCTGAAAACATCGGCATAAGCACCACCTCTTGAGTAAGGCGTGTGCCTGAATTCACAATCAGTGGGCTGCTTGATTTGGCTTAGGGCAGGAGTCTTGCGCTCATGGGACACCTGTTACGTCTGAGCTTCGGGCGCCCCGGGGGGTGGGTTGGGGTTCAGTAGTGCAGCACCCCCAAATCATACATCATCTTGGTATCCTTTTCTCAGCGGTGCTCTACATCCCTGGCGACGCGGTGCGAAACCCAGATGTTCCAGAAGAGTTGACATCCATTGAGCCAGAACATGCGATAGCGGAGCGGCACGAAGCGGTAGTTCACTGCCTGGTAGATGGGTACCACGGTCAGGGCATTGAAGTACAAGCGCGGAAAGTCCGTGGAGAGCTTCGACTGCACTTCTTCCCGTAGCTGCTGTACCGAGCCACCTGCAGCTTCAAAGACTCCCAGCGTCTTCAAGGAAGCTGTTGCCGTCATGTTGCAAGCAAGGTATACAGGCGCGATCGTGCAGCTCTCTAGTAGAAGCTTCTGATACCAAAGCCGCCGCCCGGGGAAGATTCGCTCGATGATTTGGTACCACACGTGGAACATTGGGGCCATTACCAGTCCGCCGACGAACGCGTAACGCAGCGCACGAGCCAAAGAGTAGTCAGATGTCAATTCCTGGAATCTTAGAGGTAGTTTAGGGTTTTAGCCCCTAGTACTTTTAACCTACAACTTACCTTAATCGGGATCCCAAGCAAATAGCCAAGCAAAGAGCATGGATTCCCCACTATGGTGACTGAAACTCTGTTTAACAGAAACCAAGATTCATAGATGTCTCGTCCAGCCTGTATCCCAGTGTCTCGGTTGGATGCTCCTTTCGAACACCGCTCCGCCAACTGAGCCGCGCTGTCTGCCAGGAAAAAAGTGCCCGAGGACACGGCAACGCTGTGCGCGAAAGCGGCCGACATCTGTTGCACAAGCTGCTACAAGATGAAGCAAACAAGCCTGCTTAAGATAGAAGTGGAGCCTTATCGATTCGAAACCGATGGCGTGGGAGCTTCATGAACCCGGCCTTCTTGACAGATTGCGGTACACGTCGCTTCCGGCCTGAAACTTTGACACGTGTCTCCCGGAATTCCCTCATTGTAACTGCTTTGCCGCTCTAGGTCGTCCTTGTTGCTGCAACCAATACTGCAACCAACTAGATGTATGTAGAGTTCTTGATGGTTGCATCGTGTCTGCTGCTCTCTACATTTCCTTGTAGAAGACCGTTGTGAGGTCGACCGTGCTAGGTAAGGAGACCGCATGAGATGCCGTGCTCTGAAGCCAAAACAGCTGCTTCGATTTCTGATACAGGCACCCCTAACCCCTAAGCCCTAAAACCTAAACCCAAAGCCCTGAAAGGGCTCGAACGACTCCAGACCTGCTCCCTCGCACGGCAGCCTGATTCCTTCTTAGGGGCTCACGTGTTGAGAAATTCTGTCATTTCCGGTGCCTGTCGTGCGTGAAAACAGGGAGACTAATGGAGGGGGACATCAGGAAGCTGCTCAAGCCGCAAACCTGGCGACTCGAGTCGCGAAGGTCAAACCCAGATGTGGCAAAGATGCCACACTTGGATCATTGTTATAATCTGCTGTATGTTCAGCCGTCGCAAGTAGCAGTGTACTTAGACAAGCAATCATACCAATGACGGTGTTGACACTCTTAGGAAACCGAAAGATCGAAACCGGCTTAGGCAGCGATGTTCAATCCCGAAGATGCCTGCATTATTGGGTTCCGGGTTTCAGGGCCGTTATCTCTCCAAACCGCTGAACCCTCAAAACTCTAAGCTGCCCTGAAACCGCTAGGTAATACCCAAATAGCACCCTTCTAGTACCCTGATAGCCCTGCAAAGCATCCCTGGCCTGCTTGCAGCCGCTCGGTGGTCAAACGAAGCTCCCCAGCCTCTGAATGACCGGTTGTGGTGGGCAAGGCCTGAACTAAACCATTGTGAGGGTGGTTCCTGCCCATATCTTTGTCTGGTAGTTGTTTCCACATGCGAAAATCGTGTGTACACGTGTGTGTGTGTGTGTGTGGGTGTGTGTGTGTGTGTATGTATGTATATATATATATATACATGTGCTGCATCTATGTATGTATGTATGTATGTATGTATGTATGTTTGTATGTAGGTATGTAGGTATGTAGGTATGTATGTATGTATGCATGTATGTATGTATGTATGTATACAATTATATATAGATATATATCTAAAAATATATAGGTACGCAAGCATACATACTTTCATAAGTTACATTACATTACATTACATTACNNATAGCATAGCATAGCATAACATAGCATAGCATAGCATAGCATAGCATAGCATAGCATAGCATAGCATAACATAACGTAACGTAACATAACATAACATAAACACAGCATAACATAACACAACATAACATAACGTAACATAACGTAACATAACGTAACATAACCTAACATAATGTAACATAACGTAACATAACATAACATAACATAACAGAACATAACTTAACATAACATAACCTAACCTAACCTAACCTAACATAACATAACATAACATAACATAACATAACATAACATAACATGCATTGCATTGCATTGCATTGCATTGCATTGCATTGCATTGCATTGCATTGCATTGCATTGCATTGCATTGCATTGCATTGCATTGCATTGCATGCATGCATACATAATTACACCACATCTATCTATCTATCTATCTACCTATCTATCTATCTATCTATCTATCTATCTATACATACACACGCACACACCAACAACAACTACTGGGCCGTAGTATGCTGTAGTCGTACTGGTACCAGTATGGCATGACGTTCCTTCAAGAGTTGCGAGGGACATCGACAAGAATTCCAGCCAAAGGCCTCGCTACAACAAATTGGGTGGTTTCAAAGATAACACGGGGCTGCTTCTACAAGGCTTCGGGGGGCTTCGGTTTGGGGCTTCGGGTGGCTTGGGATTAATTGGGGCTCAGGGCTTGGGGTTTGAGGGCTTAGGGCTTGGACCTGAAAAAATTTAGGTTGCAAGATGCTACGAAGATGGTGCGCAGGCGACTCTATAGGGCTTAGAGTCTTCTAGCGTTTAGGTCTTAGGGTTTAGGGTTTAGGATGGTTTAGGGGTTTAGGGGTTTAGGGTTTAGGGGTTTAGGGGGTTTAGGGGTTTGGGGTTTCCGGGTTTAGGGCTTTAGGGTTTTAGGGTTGTGATAAACCTTGCTAAAGTGCTCCTGGGACTGCCCTCATTGAACCCATCTAGGCAAGCAAAACGTATCTGGGTAACCATCGATCAAAGTGGTGACGTCCCCGTGTCGGGGTTTCTTACCTTTTTTTGGTCTAGCTAGTAGAAGCCCCGGTCTGAACCCCTTGTGAGCAGCCTGCTCTTCCTTCAGGCGCCTTTAGCAGCAAAAAGTCGTAGATTCCACGGACGGGTCGAACCAAATCTCGGAAATTAACCCCTGCAGAACTCCTCATGCCTACACCCATAAACTAAACTCTGACTTTTCCGGACTCCTTTCGACCTCCTGTATCCTGCTAGGGCTCTGTGCTGCAGGGCACGTGACCCACCGTAAGTCTTCCTTCCTTACTTTGTCTAAGGCTTCAAGACTACACAGAGGCGCCCCAACAGTGGCTACTGCCTCTACACCCTCAACCTTTAACCCTAAATCCTAAGCCCCAAAACCTTAAACCCCATCCCCGCGTGCTGCCTGCGGATCGCAGGTGGCCATGAGGACAACGAGCCCGGGTGCCGGATCTCAGCTCTGTTTCATTTCTAGTTGGGGTTTGGGGTTCCTTTACCGGTTTAGGATGGTTTAGGGTTTAGGGGTTTAGGGTTTAAGGGATACTGTTAGAGGACGGGGTTTCGGGATGTGGGCAGTTTCGACTCATATCGGCACGTGCATTATTACGAACACTGTGTGGTTCACTTTATTCTCTCTGGGTGTACCGGGCTCAAGTCGTGGGGCTTTACACTGGCCGTTAGTGTACAGCTCTCAACTAACGAGGCCACCATCTCAGATGCCGGGATAAAATGAAGTTGAATGACCCATATTTACATATTGCCACCCTTTCTACACCGCTTAGGTGTTTTGGGATCTGCGCTGTGGATGCTTTGTCAAGATCCCTCACACCCAGAATACACACACTATTCTTGGATGGCATGTTGGGCTCATGGTATAGCAAGGATGAAGAATAGCCTAAGGCCTAAGGAGCAGCCAAATACTGAGTGTGGCTCCAAGTCCTGTGCGCCCCGATCCCTTGCAAAGATGCTACCGGCAACAAGATGCAGGGCCTTCCATACCTCAAACACCGACTAAGACCCCAACCCTGAACCCTAAAGCAAGCCAAAACACTCAAACCCTGAATCCTAAAGCCCTAAACCCTAAACCCACACAGCCCCAACCAAAAGCCTTAAAGCCAAAAGCCTCCCCACCACAAACCCAAACGCCCCCGTCCCACGTGCGGCCCATGGGGCAAACAGAGCAGCGAACCTCGCTGCTTCAAAGTCTTCGGGGGCGGGGGCAGGGGGTGGGGGGCCTTAATCCCTAAACCCTAAAGAACCCTAAACCCAAAGGTTTCTATGGGATGCTCAAGAAATGGATTCTTCCAATTCCTGAAGGTATTAATAGTGGTTGGAGTGTTCAGGGATTAAAAAAGCTCTATATTCGGGTTTGGGGTTTGGGCCTTGGGTTTTAGGGGTTTGTCTGGCAGTCCCCGGTATAGGCTTACAGGCCGGTCTGGAATATCGGCCGGGAACTTGCATGGTCTTAGTGCCGGCAGCCTTGATGGATGGGGTTTAGGGTTTAGGGCCTAAACCCCAAGTAATCCCTTTACAATAAGCACTGTTAGTCTTAGTTTGGGTATAGGGGTACGTCTGGGGAACTGTAGATCCTAAACCATTCATCCTAGAATCCTTAAAGGCACCCTTAAGGCAACCGCTTCATATAACCCATACAGGAACTCAGGCCCGAACCCCAAAGCATGAAATCCGAAGCGTAAACACTGAACTCTGAACCCTAAACCCTGAACTCTGAACCCAAAACTCTAGCCCTATATCCTAAACCCTAAACCCCTAAACCCTAAACTAAACCCTAAACCTCTAAACCCTAAACCCTAAACTCCCCGAAACCCTAAAGCCACGAAATGCTGCACCCTGAAGCCCTGGCACCTCCGGCTCTCCCGTATGCGTGGCGGTGGTGGTCGTGGCCGTGGTGGTGGCGTTCTCGTCCGCCGGCGCGGAGCTTCCTGCTGAGGATCTTGGTTGAAGGTTTTGGGTTTATAGCAGTCGTTAGGCTTTGAAATGCCAGAAACGAAGATCTGAGCAACCCTAAACCCTCAACCCTCACCTCTGAACCCTCAACCCTAAACCCCAAACCCTAAACCCTTAAACCCTGAACCCTTAAACCTAAACCCTAAACCCTTATATGAACCTAAACCCCAAACTCTTAAACCTAAACCCCCGACGGATCTCAACGGGCTGAGGTCTTCGGGCTTTGAGGGATGAAGGGGCTTGGAATTTGAGGGGATCAGGCGGTTTGAGGTTCAGGGTTTAGGGCTCAGGGGTCTTGAGTTTAGGGTTTAGGGTTTAAGGGTTCTGAGGGAGATCACGGGTTTTGGGGGGGTTTAGCGGGCACATCAGGGGTTTTGCGGGGAAGCAGCTGTTCAGGTCTCGAGTTTAGGGGCCTTTGCCGTTCGGGTCTGGGGGTTTAGAGCTCAAGGGGCTGAGGGGCTATCTCAACTTGAACATGATTTCGGTCATCTTATCCAAAACCATCAACCCCACAAATTGAAATAATTCCCCCAAAGCCCTGAAGACCAGAATCGAAACCCTCGAAATCAAAGACAACAAACAGTCCGAAAGACCCAAACACTAAACTCACTAAGCCCTAACACCTCAAAGCCCTCCAGCACCCACGGGGTTTCAGGGTGTAGAGAGGCCCTGAAGACAAATCCATCCTGGAGCGGAGAAATGGCGAAGAAGCGGAAATCGAAAGCCCGAAGCCAGCCGAAAGAGCAAGTCGCCCCCTGCCAGCAGACTGAGGGGCGTCTTCCGTTAGGGTTTAGGGTTTAGGGTTTAGACGGTTTAGAGGCTTAGGGTTTAGGGTTTAGGGTTCCCCTCAACCCCTATTAGTTACTAGTCTTTATGAACCCACTGACCGTACGTAACACAAAACCCTTTAACACACAGACATGACTGATACATACTTGGCCAGTATCATGGGGAACTATAAAGGTTTACCTTTGGGTGCTAAGCTAGTACCCCCAAAACCGTAAACCCTAAACCCTAAACCGTACTGCTAAGGATACCTTCTACGGACCACCAAGGTTTAGGTCGGGGATGCTCAGCAGCGGGATGCTGTGGGTGGTCCGTAAGGCGGGTTCCCGTAAGGCGTCCTAGAGGGGTGCTCTACAGAAGGTTCCTTTCAGTTTTCAGGGTCTGTTGTTTCAGGGCTTAGGCATGCTTAGCCTGTTTTGGGGGGGTTTGGGGTGATCATGATCCCTGAAATTGACCCCTTTTTTGCCCTTGCCTGAAGGCTTCGTGTTTGGGACTTCGTGCCGGGCCATCAGGGGACCCGCCCAGCACACCCAAAAGCTGCACAATGATGGTCCGTGTGGCCTGGCGCCAAATCTCAAACCCTAAACACCCGAGACCTTCTCAGCCCTATAACCCCACAAAAAGCCACACCCTAGAGCCCAAAAAAACCAAAACCCTAACCTAACCCTAAACCCTAAACCCCACTAACCTAAACCCTAAACCCTAAAGGGTCAACACCTCCTAAGCCCTACAAGGCCGAAAACACCCTCAGCCACTTAGATTTAATTCATAAACCTCCCAAAGCCCTAAACCCGAAAAGTCCTAACATAGCCTAAAGCACTTTAAGGCCCTAAGCCCTACACCCTGAAAAGTCCTAAGATAATATATATATATATATATACACCCTAAAACCCTTGAAAGCCCTTGAAACGTTCGAAAGCTCGGGAACGGCCTTCTACTGCGAGGCTCAGCTGGAAGTGGACGGTGAGGTTCCCCTCCTCGGGCCGGCCTTTTCGGTTTTAGGGCTTTTGGGACTAATCCAGGAACTGGGCTTGCTTTCGAACTGCGGCTCTGTTTTGAATTCAACACAGAGCCGCAGTTCGAAAGCAAGCCCAGTGACATGTGCTTGCACATGGCAGCCGTACAGCAGTTAGACGGCGAACCTAGTTTCGGCAAGATCTCGTGCTGAACAGCTGCGTGAGTTTTGTGCCCCTGGCTTGATCGTTTTACACCCCAGAAGAAAGAAGAGATGAAGAAAGCCTGGGCCTTTATTAGGGTTCTTAACATGAAGCGTAATATAATTGGGGTTATAGGGCCCGGGTTTCTTAATCAGGTTCCTACATTAGGGTTCCGAAAATCATAGGGACCTATGAGGCTTTTAAGGTTTTTAAGGGGCTTAGGGCAGTTTAGGGTTTACGGGGGGTCTAGGGTTTTCTGGACGTTGGTTTACCAGGCTATTCAGCGCTGGCGCTGGCCAAAAGCGCATGCTTTTTCAAGGTTTTCACCTGGCTGCGCTACATGACTCCGCCCATGTCTAACAGGGTCTGGTGAGACTGCAAGTGGTGATTGGTGCTGCTATTCATGAGATGGTGCTGATGGTCATCTGCCATCCTACGAGCTTTGGACGGCCAGGCGTGTGGATGTAGGAGGTTCGGAGCCGATGAAAGAGCTCAGGCAGCTCGAAGCCCGAAAGAGATTCAGGGTTTAGGCTGCAGGGGGTTTCTGAAGTGGGGCATGAAGAATCGTGGCTGGGGACACCCATCTGTGTTCGAAGGCGCTAACATCAAGGGCTCAGTTTCAGGTAGATCCAAGCCGGTCCGGTCAAGAGCACCATGATCTACAACAGACCGGATTACTACAAAGGCCTTAATAATTAGAGTAGGGTTTGGTGTTAATATATTATGCAACAATTTATGATAATAAGGAACCCCCCTAAAACCCTGTTCTAATCATTAAGGCCCCTACATTACTACCCTCGGACACGCTGAGCCCAAAATCTTTCGCAATCACCATCCACCCTGGCGCCCGCGGCAGTGATGAGTGTAGAGACCTTCCTGTACCCCCCTATTTTTTGCTGTTGTGCTTCCCATATCCCTGAGCCTTCAGCCCTTAAAAAAGAACTTGGCCCCTACTGTAGACTTCTCCCTGCCAAACCCTAAATAAAATACTTCAGTCCTGAGCTCAAAGGCCCTCCATCCTGAATCCCAACGCCCACAATCCTCAACTCAAACACCCTGAACTCCTAAAGCCCCCTAAATTCTCATTCCGAAAAGCCCAAACCCTCTACAACTCCTCGTCAGCAAGACGTCGGTTCTCTCGAGACCTAACGAGAACCCTATGGAACCCTAGAAGAGCCATAGAACCCGAAAGAACCCCAGAACAGCCCCCCTAAGAGCCCCTAAGAACCCCTAAACCCTAAACCACAAATCTAAAGCCCTGAAACCTCAAGCCCAAAAAATCCTACAGTCCTAAACCGCAAAGAACCCCTAAACCCTAAAGCCGAGACCCTGAAATCCCTGAACCTTACACCACAAACTCTAAACCCGTGAACCTAAAGGCCCCTAAAAAACCCTACAGTCCTAAACCCTATAAGCCCCAGACCCTACAGCCCGAAACCCTAAACACCCGAAAGCCTAAACCCTACAGCCCGAAACCCTAAAAACCCTAAACCCTAAAAACCATAAAAACCCTAAGCCCTAAAACCCTGAAAACCCTCAACCCAAAAGCCCAAGCCCTATCAACCCTAAACCCTATAAACCCTATAAACTCTATAAACTCTATTAACCCTCCCTCGGCCTGGGGATGAAAGGAGGCGACTCGTCGTCTCCACGGACAAAGTAAGCTCCTCTGGAGATGTCTTAGGGGGTTAGGGTTTATTAGGGTTTAGGGTTTATTAGGGTTTAGGGTTTAAGGGTTTAAGGGGTGTAGGGTTCAGGGGTTAGGGCTTTGGGTTTAGGGGTTTAGTGTTTAGGGGTTAGGGTTTAGGGCTTGGGCCTTAGGGTATATGGGGTGTGCGATTTAGGCTTTGGGGCTCAGGGTATATGGGTGTTATTCGGTCTTAAGGGCTCTTTTCGTCTGCACGAAGTCCCCTACGGCGCATGAACTCCGCGTCAACAATTTCCCTTATTTCGTCCTCCTTAGGGTTGCCAGTGCACTTGTCTGTCATAGATGCGTCGAAACTCCCGAAATCAGTGGAGGCCACACCCGCAGACTTGTAACGGATGAGACATCGACGAATTCTGTGGTTGACACAGAAGGTGTCGGTGCTCTTGATGCTTCTGGCCAGCACGTACGGAAGTCGGAATATTCTTGTTCATAAGGGCGGATTGCGCTGTGCTCTTCAGGCCGATGTGGTGGATGAGTCGCGGCTTGAAACCCGAGACCTTAGGGTTTGGGGCTTATGGGGTTGAGAGTTTAGGGCTTATGGAGTTTGGGATTTAGGATTTAGAGTTTATGGGATTTAGGGTTTAGGGCTTATGGGGTTTAGGATTTGGGGTTTAGGGCTTAGGGGTTTGGGTTTAGGGCTTATGGGGTTTAGGTAGGGCTTAGGGCTTTCGGGGTTTGG